TTCTTCTCAGGGTGCCTCCATTTTCCTCATTTGTCACCATAAACTCAGCCATGTTGCCGTTAAGATGCAGTCAGAGGTACCTCATGTTTTTTGCCTCAGTTTAGTTGCTGAGGTCGTCTGTGCAACGGTTTCACCAACTTTAAGCATTTCCTTAAATATAAGACCAAGATAAGGAGAAAAACCTGAGGAGAAGACTTGAGGATGTTTTTGTGCAGCTGATTTTATTTAAAGGAAAATCTTAACTTTGAGTGCTTTGTCCATCCGGACCCTGAAAATAAGACTCAAAAATCAATCTCTCTCCAGAATGCCCTACTCCACCTTTAATATGTGACGTTCAAGTTGCATCCAGGAGGGTGATTCACATCCTCCAACCAAGTGAAATAATAGTTTCAGCAAATATTAATTCCAACTGCAATTCCAGGAGCCGTAAACCTCCTCTCTCAGCTGGTCATTTCTAAAGTCTTTCAGTTTCTGGAACTAAGTGAGTCCATAAAAAACTTCTTCCTACATCACTGTGTGTTGTGTGTACTTCACTGAAACTGGAATAAATACACAAGTGTTAGAAGTCCATGAACTCTTTCTGTAAGACTTGTCAGCAGAGTGATCCATCACTGCAAGTGTTTTTAACATTTTCCCCACAGAGGTAAACCATTAAGTTTATATAGATTACAAAGGTTGTTTTCTGTTTAGAATACTCAGTATTTCATTTTGGACTTGTTATGGCCACTGTTGACTTTTTACGCCACCGGTTTGAAGAATCACAAATGACCCTGGCAGGCAGAAATACATGAGACATGAGAGTTCAGATTGATTTTGATTCTTACCACAGCATGAGAAGGTTTATAAAGAACAGAAGCAAAGTGTGACTGACCTGAATCTCCTTTGTTGAAACAGCTGCATCTTAAAACAAGAGTTTAGGCAGATGGTGACACGTATGACAGATAGCTTTACCTCAGTTAGAGGGACGTTGCTGGGCAGCAGTAATACATTGAGTACTTGATATCTTCTGCTGGGAGGTCGGAGGAACAGCAGAACTTGGCCAGTTATTGGCAGCATGATGTTCAGAAGCCTTTTGATGGGATCCCAGATCAGGCCGAAGGCAGAGAGGTGACAGACCTTCACAACCACATGAGTGTGTGTAATCTCCAGCGGCTCCACGATGCTCATTCCATCATCAGTGATGTGGACGACAGACAACAGTCCATCAGGGAGCGGAGCTGTGAACACACAGAGTTGTTAAACTTTTGTGTTACTGCGAACAGGTTCATCTACCTAATTCACTTCTTGCTACTCGAGTCCAGAGATTTAAAATGAATCTATTGTCATTAACTCTGGAGCTTCCAAAGGATGCACCACTTTGCCTCTGTCCTTCACTCACCTAATTTACTTTCATTGTTCTGTTTCACACATGATCTGTCTGCATTTCACTCCACTCCATTACATTTTCATCATGCATGTCACTGAATGCAGCTAGTTTTAACTAGTAGTGCTACACATGAACACAAATCTCTGCATTTTCATTCATTATTTCTTTCACATTGAAGACAGTAATGTCTTTACCATCCATAATTTCACAGTGTGGGAGGTGGAGCTGACAGACAGCAGCTTCCTCTGAACACTTGATTTCAAACAGCGGCCCTGCAGCCATCTTGCCAGCTGACTGGAGGACTATCTCGTCCCATTGGACAGTGTTGTACAGCAGCTCCGCCTCCTGAGCCATAACAAACACCAGTCCAGTCAAAGCACACTGGAACACACCTGGACCAGGACACCTGAACCTGTAGGACACAGAAGGACTGATTACAACAAGCTTTCAGTCTGTTGGTCAATGATGTGTTGAGTTAAGCCGTGCAGACGCTCTGTGTTTTTATTCATCTTGTACGTGGTGTTTAACATGATGTCATCTTCCTTTCTGTGAGGTCACAACCTGCGATCCATCCCATCGTCCTACAGACACATCATTGATTCTTTAGGTGATTGATCAGGTGTCCTGACCTCAACCTGAACATTAAACAAAAAACAATCTTGCTGATTCTAAAAAACCTCGGTGGAACAAATTTGGGACTAAAGTCAGGGTTAGTGCACACAGCATCTGCCAGGCAACACAAACACTAAATCCATCCAGCTTTTGTCCTGGTAAG